TCCTCGTATGTGGACCTCAGAGCATTTATCGCTTGCAGCTTAGGCATTCCAACCCTCCCATAGCTCCTTATTAACTACTACAAGTTAGGATTAAAAACGCTGCAAGTTAAAACCACAGAGGAGGCTATAAAGTGGAAATAAAGCATCTCTCTGACCCCACCCTCTCCTCTCCCCAGAGGCAGCAACTCTTACCCGTCTCTTGTGTGCCAGGAAAGGTCTGGGCCTTTCTGGGCATAAACGTCCTCCAGACACAAGTCTGACCCTGCCGTGCATTGTGTCTGGGGCATCGTTCCAAGAGCTCCAGGTTTTTGACCTGCGTCCACTGCACCGAGGATGAAGTGTTAGGAAGTGTTGTCCACTTCCCTACTGGTCCAGTTTCCCTAACTGGCAGTGACTGCTGCCAGGCACTCATTTCCTGGAGTGTACGTGTGTGGTGCCTTCCCAGCTCTTAAATTGCTGGCTGAAAGGACAGGCCCCTTCTTGTAAAGCCTGGCTGGGGGTGGGCTGGAGGCCACTCATGGGATTTGGGTCCAGGAGGGACTGGCCTGCATGTGGAGTGTATGTGTATGTGTGTGTGTGTGTGTGTGTGTGTGGGTTTCCCAATGTCCCCAGCAGGTGGGGGGAGATGGTGGAATGAGAGCTTAGGTCTCCCTGTGCCTGGTGCAGGAATCTGACCACTGAAGCACAGTGTCCCCCTGCCTTAACTGAAATATTGCCACGTGGGTCTGATTGGAAGCTGAGTCCAGCAATTAATCCAGACAGAGCTGCGCTCAATGCACGGGGTTTTCTGCTGTGCTCCCTTGGCCTAGATTTCCCAGGGGACAACTCTGACCGCCGCTGCGTGCCTGGTAAATTAAATGTTAAAAAAAATCCCCATGATGACTTTAATCAATCCACTGAGATGGCGGGCAGCCTCCTCCCAGATGAGCCTGGTCCACTAGAGAAAGCCCCCCCCCCACGCCGGGCTCAGGGTCTGGAAGAGGAGGGCCTCAGAACCCTGCTTTATGGGTGCCTGCCTGTGGAGGAGGGGAGAAGGTGGGAGGTCGCAAACGTGTTGTCCTGAAGCCTAGCTCCTCCCAAATCCAGACCACAGGAGCCCAGAGGAGGGGGCTGGAACGGGGCAGGGAGGAGGGGAGGTGGAGGGAACTGCGGCCCCCCACCATAGCTTGCCCTGATCTCTGCCCCAGGCCAAGAGGGCAAGGGACCATGGGGGCAAGGAGCGGGGCATCTCCTCCCGGGGTCTCTCTCCTGGCCCAAGACCCGGGTGGGGGCTCTGTGGCCCGCAGATAAGTTTATGATGAGCCCCTTGAGTGAAGCTTTGTGGAGGCAATTCCTCCAGTTGCCGCTTGGGGGAGTAAGGGGGAGGAACCCGGTGAGCAGCGGGGCCTCCAGGCCCGCGGGGGAGTCGCGGGGTGCGGGGTGTGGGATTCTATGTTCCTTCCTAGGGGCAGAGGGGGCGTCGGGCTGGCCCCGTCGTAGCACCTCAGCCAAGCTGTCATGACCTGCCACCTGCTTACAGCGCCTCTAACAGGGCCCAGCGCTCTGACCTCCAGGCCTCGCGTCTTCAATCTTCTCTTCACCTTGCTGTGTACCTTCCAGGTCCTGTTCAAGGCACATCTTCCCTAGGCAGTGTTTTCTGGCACCCCCTTAACTCCCAAACCCTTCCCCGCGGGCCTAGGTTATGTAGGCGAACCTTTCTCTCTGCGTCACTCTCCCCAGGCAGCCGGCCGATTTGTTTGGCCTGCGCCCGCAGGGGGCGTCCGCCAGCCTGCGAGACTGGGGGCGGTGCAGAGTAGGAGTGTGGGATCCCGGTCTGAGTTTGTATCAGAGCAGAGCGATCCCTTCCCCAGATTCCGACGGTGATTTGGCTGCGCCTAGAGACTAGCCCGAATCCTCCAGCCCGCGGGGAGTTACTGGAGTGGCCTGAGGGGTTAGAGTCAGGGGCAGAGAAGGCTGCTGGTGGCGGTGGACTCGGGGTCCTGGAGTGGAGGCGCAGAGACTGCGAGTCCCGCTGCCGATGCTTAGGGTCCTGGTGGGGCGGGTCTTGGGGGTCCATAGGCCAAGGCCGAGACGTGGTATAGGGGTCTTCCGAGGAACCACTGCACACAGGGGCGCCCCGGAGCATGGGCAGAATGGGGAGCTCAAGGTCATTGTGCTCCGTACGCGTCTCCAGGGACCGGAACCCCAAGGCGTGGAGTCCCCGGGATGGATTGGAGGGGCTGTGGTATGTCCCGTCAGCAGAGGTTTCGCGGAGCTCAGCTCAGCTCAGCGGCGCCGCCCCCTACCTCGCTCCTGAGCCAGGGTACCGGGCAGGGGCCCGCGAGGCAGGGGCTGCGGAATCGCAGCAAGAGGGGCCCTCGCCCCCTCCCGCCCCTCCGTCTCTCGGTTGCGTGTCGGGGTGTCTGGCTCGCCGCCCAGGCAGAGGGGGCGCTGTCGACGCGGGCGGGCGGGGCCAGAGCGCGGGGGCGCGCAGCGCGGAGCGAGCGCAGGGGCCGCGTGCGCGGGCAGCAGAGGATTGAGGGCCTCGCGGCCAGTGAGCGCGCGGGCGGGGAGGCGCGGCGGTGGCCGGAGGAGCTTGGAGCCGCTCCCCGCGCTCCGCTCCTCCATGGCGCTGCCTGGACCGCCCGAGCCGCCCCGCGGCGCGTCCCGCAAGGCACCCAGCCTGCTGGAGATGGGGGCCCTCTGCCTGGACTCCGAGATCATTCTGGGCTTCACCAGCCACCTTCTGCGGCGGCGAGCCAAGGTGAGGGCCGGGCGGGGGCACAGACGCTGTCCCGCGACTTTGTGGCGCGGCTCCCGCCGCTCAGGGTGCGGCGCTGGGAAGGAGGCAGTATATCCCGCAGCCCGTGCGGGAGACTCGCTGGCGCACTTTCCCCATTAGTGCGGCCCCATCACTCTCCCCTTAAGGCTGCGTCGTGAGCCGGAGGCAGTCAGCCAGGGCGGAGAGCGTAGCGCTGGGACCCTGGGTGCCACCGCACGCCTAGCTGGGGTGGGCGAGGCAGGGGGTCGGGGTCTCGTAGCTGAGCCGGAGTCCCTGAGGTGACTCCAGGTACCGCGCGTACTTCCAGGATCTGCGGGGCTGTGTCTTGGCCCCCTCCGGGAATCCCGGTGTAGAGTGTGAGCGTGCGCTTCCCGAGGCGCCGCCGTTGTGCGGGCGACCGAAGTTGCGGGTGTGGCCGGCCGCGGGTATAGGACTGAGGCTCTGCGTCGGTGTGTTTCTGGGGGGCGCATGTGTGTGTGTGTGTGTGTGTGTGTGTGTGTGTGTGTGTG